TAACAGCCTTTTACCTGACTGAGTAATTAATTACATTTACACTAAAGAGCCATTTTGTTGATCAACTAATTGATTAAATGACCAACAGCCACACGCTGATGTTTGCTGTGTTCCACTCACTGGTCCTCCAGCCAGTCAGGTCAACTCCATGTTATTTCTACAGACACCCTCCGTGCTCAGACTCAACTAACCAGATCTAGCCGTACAGTACATCTTCATTAAACTGAGTACCGTGACGAAGGTAGTGGATGTTGGGTGCAATAACAGAGAAACCTTGAGAATGCAACCGGAGAGTTGTTCCGGTACTTTAATTGAGTGTTTCATATATCAAAATGACCTTTCAGGAAAGTGGACAGAGAGACACACGGAGGAAATTTATCAACACAATTGCCGTGCGTCCGTGCCGCGGGATCACACACTATTTTACCCACAGCGCCTCCGTTTCATTTCCTGACCGCTGATTTGTTGTCCGCTGCTGTCCGAGCAGATAAGTGAATTTCCCCAGCGAGGAATGTGCACAGGCGTTCTGAATCAATGTCAGGATTATATCGCTGCTCTGACAGGGCGCTCTGTGTGCATTAACTTCCAGCTGTGAGAGCACAAACTCCTGTGGGAACCTCATTAGTCCCCTCAGCGTCCTCGCTGCTAATTAGTGCACAGAGTGTTTAACACAACAAACTATCCACACTTTTAGTTTTGTAATTGACTGAGCCAATTACATGCTACCACTACGTGTGTCGAGCTCTCTCCTTTTGCACTGCACGTATAACAAAGATGGCAATTCTACCATTAAAATGATTAATCCTTTTTAAAACAACATTTTACACATAGAACCAGGGTGGTAAATTCCTGCCAGCTAATGTAGACTTTGCAGATTGAAAAGACAGCTGTTACTGGCAGATTTTATGCAGATGACTTGATTCAGTCCAGTGTGTACAGTAAGAGGGTCTCAGAAATGCATTTGATTATCACATCTGATAAAGTTAAAATTAAGATCAGACTATTGATTCATTCCAACTGCTCTCTATGCCCAAATTTCCTGTTTCTCTTCATTGCCATTCACGATAAATGAGTAAAAATGCCCCAAAATAATCTAAAACAAAGCAAAGAAAGAAGTAGAATCATTTTCTCTCAGATTAAAACCAATACTCTGTCCGTTGCATGACTTGTTTCACAATTTACAGCCGTTTCCTGTCTAGGTCGACACGACTTACTTTGCTTGCATGAGTAACCCGAGTCAGAACTTTAGAAACCTGCTAAAAATCGTCAGGCAAAAAATAAAGTACTTTTATAATCTAGAACAGGGGTCGGCAGCCTTCAATACTCAAAGAGCCATTTGGACCCGTTTCCCACAGAAAAGTAAACACCGGGAGCCACAAAACCCTTTTGGCATCTAAAATGAAGATAACAGACACCATATATCGTTTTTACGTTAATGCTATGTATAAAAAAAACTATAGTCTGTTGCATTTCTAAAATCAATGAAAAGCTACAGAGAAAACAAAATTTTATTTCTGCATGCAACAAAAACATTTTGAACTCTGAAATGAAAGACGCTGGGTTACAGGTTACTTTCAAATAAAATATTGTCTATTTGAATCCTCCTTGTATTTATAAAATAAAAAGCCGAACTTAAATTATCCACCTGCAGCAAAGTCAAAATGCCGTCTGGTTGTCCTGCTGCCTGCAGCTGGACTGCTGACCAGACTGCTGACCGCCTGTGAGCGCTTTAGGACGGGAGGCGCTCACGGCAGCACGGCTGCTCACTGAGGACAGGAGCGGCACAACGATACGTGTTTTCACGTCAGAGTCTCCAAAACACTATAAAAGTCTCCAGTAACACCAGAAAGAGTCGCTAGATTTGTCGCTAGTCACTTTTGACAAAAAAAAAAGTCGCCAAGAGGATTTGGAAAGTTGCCAAGTTGGCAACACTGCGCATGCCGGTGGGTGTCGCACATCGGCGAGTGCACATTTTGAGCGTCAAAAAAAAAAAACTAAACACGTTTTATTTTAATGTTACAAGATCACCATAATCTTCAAATTCAGAATTGCATTTTGAAATCTAACGAACTGAAAAAAATGAATTTAAATTAAATACTCATTTATTTTCCAAAGCCACAAGGAGCCGCAGCAGACGCATGAAAGAGCCGCATGCAGCTCTGGAGCCATGGGTTGCCGACCCCTGATCTAGAAGGTTAGAAGAATTTGGAAATACCTTCCTACTNACAATAAGCGCTTAGGAAAACCTTGAAAGTATTTAGTCTTTGAGAGAAACCGATTCCAAACGCTGCAACTTAATTTAATGCTACAAACGGGATCAGGTAGGGAGTTAGACAGTTGTGCTGCATTTTCAGCTTATATTAGAGATAAACACTCTCTTACACTTTTGCTCTTTTGGCTTAAAAAAAAAAAATCTAGAAAAACAGACACCATCCTTCAAACCACTTCAAACACTAAGAATAAATAAACGGAGAGAAATCAAAAATCTGACACGCCTGCCAGATGAAGAGAAGGCGTTTAGCTAACTGTCAGCTGAGATGATGAAACTGTTTGTGAGACTTAAACTCCAGTAAATATATATGTGAGCTCTGCAGGAAACTCAGACATCGTCCCCATACGGTGGTCAGGCTGATGTGCACCTCGAGTAGCACGTTAGTGAGGACGGGAGTCAAAGGTCGGAGCGAAGGGACAACTCCAGCAGGTCAAACAACGACAGACTTGTGTAAGTCATCTGCTCCACAATCTGCATTCTGCTGACGGGACTTTGAAACAGAATAAATCACTGAAACCTTGTTAGACACAGCCAGAGATGAAATCCTAAACAGTTCATTTATAATCTCTGAGCATTTCACCCAACCTTGGCACAATCTCTCGTCTTTCCTTCCAAGTGCACGGAGTCGAGAATGGAGAATTTCTACACCTGAGTCCCATCACTCGCACCACCTCCCACACAGATATTCACAAATACACACAAGCCTTACCTCTCCCGGACAAACTCGGCGAGCTCCTTGGTTGCCAGCTGGCCATGCTTCATGTTGTGATAGAGCACGTCAAAGCCAGCATTTTTCTCCCCCTGCCAAGACACAAATAAATCACACACACACCTTCTGTTAGCACCGAATCGAGAAACGGCAAACCAACATGATAAAGTTAAAACGAGTGATGTCAGGTGCCGCCTCAGTATCACTCTTGTTTGAGTTTGAGACGTTTTCTGGGTTCAACAAACACTTCGGTTGCAGTAAAAATAAAATCTGTTCAGATTTAAAAACCTCTGACAACAACGTCTAAGACAAAGACAAGGGATCATTGAGGATGTGTAGTATTAGACATAAGAGCCAAACGTGAATGTAGTTGACAAATGAGTTGCAGTCAAAATAGAAAATTATTGTTTTGTGTCTCAGCTGATTGTAATTATAAAGCCTTACTGGCTTAAACTGGTATCCCCCAGGACCAGGTCTTGTTTAACCTTGTACATTATTTGGCTAAATGTAGTCTGTCACAGACGACGTAATAACATCCCGGCTGGTCATCAGTGCATGAGGCAAACAGTCCATCATCACAGCTTACAAAAATATGTATTTTTTAAATTTAGTATCTGATCACATCAGTCAGTGTCTCTCATGTGACGTCTTCCTGCCTCCCTGGATGTAAAAAACAAACAAAAACTGGTATCATGGCATATTTGTGTGTTTGGAGAATCCCCAGAGAAAAAAAAATAAAAAAAGATTGTGAGAAAGCATTCAGACTCGTGTTCAAATAAGTAAAACTCATTTTCAGAACATCCGTATCTCAGTGAATGTGTGTTATCAGCAGTGTGTGGGTGTGTTCTGGACATGTCCCACTGACTGCTGGAAGTCTGACTTATGCTCATCTTGGAGTTTGGGTTTTGCGTCTTATGACTATGTATGAGTGTAACTGGCCGGTCTACCCAGGATGCATTTCAAATCAGCCGTCTCCAAGCTCCTAACCTCTCTCCCTTTGAAACCGACCCGTTTGCACCCCTCTTGTTCTTTTGTTTGGCTTCGTTCTGTTCTGCGATTGTTGTTTACTTTCCACTGGGCATCCCTGTGTGTCAGAACCATTTAGAACCTGGAAGTTGTGTACTTTTTTATCCTCAGTATCTGCTCTAAAAGAGGAGAGGACACACTTCATTTATCATTACACGATCTGCATCGGCGTGGTCCGGTGGTCTGCTTGGTATCTCATAGGCAACTGTCTAAATGATGGTTTGGTAAAAATGATAAACCTGAAGGACCAATCGTGTTTTCTCGTTGGAGCACTTGGCATTTAGCTGCTTTTGTTACGTGTGAGAGTTGTGATAACATTTAGGGGAATGAATTGAACGGAGTTTGTGCTGATACGTCAGACTCAGCTACTAGAAATAATGGGGCTCTGAAGAGCTGCTGCACTCCACCGGCTCTTATCTCACTCTCTGCCGTTGAACCGGAGAGCACAAAAACCTCAGGGCCAACATGACTCAGTATCATTAAAACGTGAGGGTTGTTGTTGTTGAGAGACGAGCTGCCTGCTTTGCAGCCGAGCAGAGTGAACACAGACTACATCACCGCCTCACACCATCACTGTTGTAATTACACAGAACTACACCTGTCTCAGCCTAAGTCTCCATAATCCCAGAAAGTGGCCGACTGAAGAAGCAGCACCATTACAAACATTCTTTGTTGTCTCTTCAGCCTCACCACATTTTTCAGTCAGCAGACGGCTGGGCTGTCTGTGCAGACAGAAACACAGGCAGCTGCTTCTTAGGACCTAAAAATACCCGGCTGGAGGAGAACAGCCCAGTTCCCAGGTACCAGGGGAATGGCTGGAATGCCAAGGAAGGGTCACCAGTAACCACACACAGTGAGCCGAGGTAGACCGAGTGCTCGACTCCCAGCGGCCAGGAAGGGAAACAGTTGTTCTGAGAGGCTCAGGCTTCAGACAGGTCGGTGACAGAGAACTCAGGCGCTGAGGCATCACCACTGACATCAGCTGAAGGCAGTCACTGTCTCCAGGCTGTTCTGTTTTATAAGAGACAGGAGCATCAACACAGAACTAACGCTACCAAACAACAGTGGATCGTGAAGATGCAGCGCTTTGACAATATTTTGTCACGTCAATGCTGCATTTTATCTGTCTAATGAAACTTCAGGAGCTTCAATCAGGAAAAGACAAATCTGTTGACCAACCCAATAATCAATAAACAATTCTCACCTGAAGCTATGTGATATTAAACTAAACTTCTTTCTCCTCCTCTTGTGTTCTACTCTTTTTTTCCTGAGTTTTAAAAAAACTTGTGATGGAAATTTCTTTGTAAGTACTTTATAGATCAAACCATGATTTGAGAAAATATTCTGCAGTTTAATCAGCGGACTAATCATCACCTGCAGTCGAGCACTTAATCTAATATCTAATTGTGTAGCTGCCCTAAATAAAAGATTTCTTCTCTTTTCATTAGCAACAGCAAAACATAACAAGGTTGGGGAAGTATTCTCATCGTCTGAGAGAAATGTTCAACCTTCTGTTTTTAAAAGTCCAGACCCTCATCTTGACCATCACAACTAAACGAACAGTCCCCGTCTTAACCCTGATCTTGGTCTGTGTTTTCAGATGTCACATTGATGTTCTCTTCATGTTGTGAATAGTTTCCTTTATAGTAGAATATAAGGGTTAAAACGGGATTTGTGAGGAGAGGGAGTCCGTGTCCAGAGATTTCAGGGCTCAGGGACGTGTACCTGCTACATCACCTGCATTTAAAATCCATTTTACAGATAACCCTCGTTTCTTGTTTTATTCAGACAGAGGCAGAGTTTTCAGCCAACTAGCTTGATTAGCAAGCCAACAAAGATCAACGTCGCCTGCCAACACTTTATTTAAGCTGTAAATATTAAGCTTGTTTTGTTCTAACCTCAACCTTCTGGAACAAATGATTGAGACTTACTATAAATCTGCAATTGTATCTGCATGTAAAACATGCAAAACTGGAAATAATAACCTAGTGGGTCAGCATGCACAACATCAGAACCTCTAAACTAAGTCATCTTAATGTCATTGACTGTGACGCCTCTGTTTCTCCTTGTCGTGTCGGGCTCTGTCACGACATTGCATAAAAAAAAAACTTGTTTCAGTAACTACAGAAGCAAAATAAGTGCTTGTTTTTATTTAGAAAATACAATCTGGCCTCTTCTGATTTTTTTTTTGGTCATGTGTTACGCTGCCCCAGTAAATAAATAGATCAAGTTTGTGTGATTTCACTGAGAATCTGCAGGAACCAGCTTCAGATCACTGAATATATGAATGACTGCACATACACTGAATATTTCAAAAAGCAGAGATCCAAATGAGAGAAAACCTTAACGTGTGCTCAGTGTAGAGGAGCAGTGATGCCACCAGCTGTACAGGAATAACCTGTTATTATTAATGATTGGGTCAGGGGAAGGGGACTGTGGGAGGAGAGGGGAGCGTTGGACTGATTTCATACGTCGCATCGAGGTTTTTAGGTTTAGTTTGTACCTCCACCGACCCCTGTGTAGATCTGTGCCTCTCCTATCGCACATTTGACTTTGACGTTCTAATCAGAATGTCACATCGCTTATCAAAATGTCACATGACACCGTGTGTTGAGGATGTCGCCTAGCAACAGAGGCTCCACCCACAGGCACCGACTCGGTGATCCTGGGGGGTCGGGACTCGATAAGAGAACCACTGAGTCACTGAGTCACATCAGCCTGGATTAAATCTGTCACTGCTTTAGGATAACTTTCTTTAGAGTGAACTGAAACAAGCTATGACTGAATAAACACAGTAAAACACCCAAAATCCCGTTTAGCCTCCTTCTTGGCAAAGGATACCGCTTCGTTTTATTCTGAAACAGCTGAGAGCTTTGACATTAGCCGTGTATAAGGAGCGTAAGGGGCCATCTGCAGGTCGGATAATGTTGTTTATCGTCAGCCCTCCTCGCTATTCAACAGGGAGGCGATTACTCTCTTTAGGTTTTGTCCTTTCCTTGCAGTTGGCCGACGCCTTCTGTTGAAACTCTAGCCTCGCTGCAGAAAGGTGAGCTGCTAGCGTAAGCCTTCAGAACTCACACAAACACACACACACCTGCCTCTCCGCGGCCAGACGTAGCACCTGTCCACCACCGCTGCTGGCTGTATGCAAAGAGAGCTTGTCCACAGACTACAGAGCGTTCTAGTGTTTTAAAGGGTTTGATAACGTTAACAGTGACATGCCTTGTTGAATATTTGAAAAGCAAATATGAGCACTCCGGGCTATGAGAGATATGCCACAACTTAACAGCAACAGTATCTCCACTGCTTAGTACATTATGTTTACTTTTGCAGATGCTCTAACATTTACTCGTGACCTTGCCAACTGCTATCAAAGGCTCCATTACCACACAGTAACCGGACTTATTAAATTGGTTACACGCCACTGTTAGTGTCAGTATTTCTAATTTTCCAGCTTTCACGCCACCGGGCTCCAGTCAGTCTTCGTTAGAACAGCTTGTTAGATGGTCTAATGGTTTTGCAGACTTCCCACTGCTTGAACTATTTCTGCCGCTTTTTCTGCAAACAATTATTCTAACATTAGAAATGATTGCAGGAGAGACCAGTGGACCATTATCCAGTATTCATCCCAACATGTTCCCCTCTGTGCTGCTTCCAGCTTTTCACTCCAGGTACTCCACTTCTTATCTGTGACAAACCAGCCCTGAAAACACTGCATTTTCAGAATCCGATCACACATCAGTGATTATTCTTCTTCTTTTCTTGTCTCGTAGCTCTAACATCAAATGGGAGAGACTCATTGTTAAAACTGAGAAATAAACACCAGTCTCCTACCGGCAGTTCCATCATTCTGGTTAGTTGTGTCCTCTTTGTGGGGAAATCTGTGACTTAAGTACTGGCACATGTTGCAGAGACTAAAAAATTCAATGCTCACAGTTTCTCTGTGCTGCACTGCACGGCCTGAGGCAGTTACTGTTGGTGCAGGTCATCTCCCCTGTATTATTAGTTTATTCCCTAAATTAAATGCCACCGACTCTGATAATAGTATAAAAGTGTGTTTTGAACA